ATGTGGGACGCGGCCTCAGCACGGCCGGAGAAGCAGTGTGTCGGTGTGCGCCCGGGATCCGAACCCGGGCCGCCAGCAGCGGAGCACGCGCACTTAACTGCTAAGCCACGGGGCCGGCCCTATTTGGTTCTTTTTTGTAGTTTCTCTTCCTCAGTTGAGATTCTCACATGTTTATTCATTATGCATGTAACTTCCTTTAAGTTCTTGAGAATATTCTTAGTAGCTGCTTTCTCTGCATCACCTGGATTATCTTGGTTTGGCTGGAATCGACTCCTTTTTTTTATCTTGAGTATGATAAGCTCATTTCTTCTCATAGCTCATGATCTTTATTGGGTCCTGGACATCAGGAATGATGCATTGTAGAATCTCTGGATTCTGCTATGTTCCCCATGGTGGCATTTAACTTGGCTGAACACAAACTCTGCCATTCCTGCAGTGGGCAGCAGTCAAAATCTCTTCTTAGATTTTTTAATCTTCAAGCTGCTGGTTTTTCTCCAAGACCCCTGCAGTCTTCCCCACACATGTGTGGTTTAGTCAGTTGGCCAAAGATTTAGGTGGACTCTGTAGGCAGATTTGGCTACCCTCTGTGGCTCTCTGCCTTCCAAGATTTCCCCTGTAACATTCTGGACTCTCTCCTTTGACGCTTCAACACAACCAGGCTGCTGCTCGCTGTGGCATTTGTGGATGGGGGTGTGCCCCCAGGCAAGAAGCCACAGAGTCACCAGTCTGACCTGTGACAGTGGTCTTTCATGGGTGGACTCCTGGCAGTGTCTGCCTGCTTTGGCCACCCTCCAGGGTCTTTAAATAGCTGTGTTTATTTTTTTTAATATTTTGCCCAGGTTTTGTAATTGTTATCTGCATGAGGGTTAGTCCAACCAATCTGCTCTACCATTACTAAAAGCCAGCACTCTGTTGCATGCCTTTTAAAAACTATTTTTTAAAAAACCTACACCTTGATGTGCTAAGAGCCCTTGATGAATGAACCTAAATAAAAAATATTTTCAGGGGGCCAGCCCCGTGGTGTAGTGGTTAAAGATCAGTGCGCTTCACTTCTGTGGCCCAGGTTTGTGAGTTCAGATCCCAGGTGCAGACCTACACTGCTCATCAGCCATGCTGTGGTGGTGACCCACACATAAAAAAGGAGAAAGATTGACACAGTGTTAGCTCATGGCTAATCTTCCTCAAGCAAAAAAAAAAGAGAGAGAAGATTGGCAACAGATGTTAGCTCAGGGCGAATCTTCCTCAGCGGAAAAAAAATATATTTTCAGGAAACTGGACCAGCTTATCTGCAACCTATGACCTTGATTATCTTAGATGAATAAGGAAGAATTCCATGCTTTCTGCAATAGGCGTGTTGTGTGATAATACATTGGAGCAGCCAGGCTGGCCCACATGGTCCCAGTCAGTCTGTCTGTCTGATACTAACATCAAAGAATGTGTCCAGGGGGAGTAGAGCAGGCAGTCTCAAAAGATCATTACATTTCCCAGAATAGTCCTGAATATCCCTAAAATAACCAAGTAGATTTTAAATTTTCTGAAATCTTTATGAACCTATTTATATTTTCTAACTGTACTGCCTCTTGAAATAATAATTCTACATATTACTATCTGTTTATAGAGTACTGTTGCAGACTCTATCTGAAGTGCTATATATAATTTTATAGAATTCAGTATCAGATGTAATACTAGGGAGCTACTCAGGTATCCATTCATTTGATAAATATGGATCAGCTGCATGAGCCGTGCATGGCACGGAAGCACCACAACAAAACTGTCTCACGGGACGCCCTTGTCTCTACCGTGCTCCTCAGCATATGGACCCGTATGAGTTTCCTGGGGCTGCCATGCAAAGTACCACAGACTGGGTGGCTTGAAACCACAGAAATGTATCCTCTCACAGTTCTGGAGACTGGAAAGTGTCGGCAGGGCTGTGATCCCTCGAGGGGAGGGTCCTTCCTGCCTCCTCCAGCTTCCGGTGGCTGTTGGCAATCCCTGGCATTCCTGGGCTTGAAGCTGCATCACTCCAGTCTCTGCCTCCGTCATCCCATGGCCGTCTTCCCTGGGCGTCCTTTTCTGTCTCTTATGAGAACACTGTCACTGGATTTAGGGCCGACCCTAATCCAGTGTGATCTCATCTCGATCCTTACCTTGATTACATCTGCAGAGACACTATTTCCAAATAAGGTCGAATTCTGAGATTCCCGGTGGACACGAATTTGGGGGGACCCTATTCAACTCAGTACAACTCCCCAAAGTGACCTGTCCATTGTGCCCAAACTCTTGTCTTAAGTTTATGGGCTACCCCCGGCTTCGGGGGTTCCGGGATTTGGTGAATTGATTGTATTCATGACTTCACAAGCTGGAGGAGCACCATTGTTGTCATTTCAGACCAGTGTTTTAGCATTTCCACTTGGCTTTAAATGTTAGCAGCTCCATCCTCCTAATAATTTGAGTCTCCCTCTGTGGCCCCCTCCAGTCCTGTCACCTTGGTGAGAGGTGCTCACAAGAACTAGGCACTGGATCAAGGGCCTGTGGACCTCGAGGTTTTAAATCCACGCAGTATAATTTTTCTACCCACCTTCCAAACCATACCACTTTATCAAACCCAAATTATACAGACCGAGGACCAGGAACTATGGCCCACGGTCCAAACCTGGCCCATCGCCTGTTTTTTGTAAATAAAGTTTTATTAGAACACAGCCAGGCTCATTCGTTTATGTGTTAGCAATGGCGGCTCTTGTGCTACAATGGCAAAGTCTAGTAGTTGCAACAGAGACAGGACGGGCCCAAAAGTCTCTGGTCCTTTACAGAAAAAGTTGGCTGACCCCTGGTCTAAGCAATATCCTCTGAACAGTGTGATAAACACGCACAGAGTGTGGTAAATTGTGTGTTGAACTAGGGAACGGGTTAACGTGAAAACCCTGTGTGACATTGAATAACTTGCGTTCTGGAAGGTGCGTTCTGGCCACAGTAAGCAGAGCTTGGGCTCATCGTGTGTCCCCAATACTCGCGCAATCTCTCCTTATTCCAATAAGACTTCGACTTTGGAGAAAAATTATTTCCACCTGTGGAACAAGGACCTGGGCTCAGTGATGTCGGCTTTTTTTCACTAGTGAACTCTTTTCACGAAGAGTTCTAGTCCAATTATTTCCTCCTAGGATCACTGAAGTTACCCACTTCTTGGCTTCAGATGGGAACAAAGTGGTATATGGTGTGCAGGTGACTTATTTAAACGTTAGAGAAAACTGTAAGTAAGAGACCTCGATTAAGCAACTTCCAACAGAAGAATCCAAAGGTCACTTCTGTCAGGAAGGCAGAGAGAGTTGAAGACCCAGGAAATAAATGATCAGAAATTCACAACCTGCTCCCCCTCTGAAAGAGGCAAGGAAAGTGGGAGGCGCCAGTCACCGCGTGGCTCTGGGGCCATCTAGTGGCGAGAACTGAATCCAGCTCACAGGAAACAAATGCCACAGACGCAGACCACAGATCCCCTCCGGTGGCTCTTGTGGTACCAAAGACGTTTGGGGGGGAACGGGAGAAGTCATGGAATATTCCCCGTCAGTAAAGATGAGATTAAACCAACACTCTCAGATTCAAACACACACACCCCTGCTTTCTTTAGGCAAATTAGGTTTTCTTTTTTTTTTAATTCTTCACTCATTCTTGAAGGTGGGAATTCTTGGGGTGATAAACATATATAAAAGGTCTTGCAATACGTCCTGGCCACTGTGGGGAGGGGGGTCTGTGCTCAGAACTGGGGCCAGGACGGGTCAGGACGGGCCAGGACGGGTGTGCCTAACCACAAAGCCACCACCTCTCTCTGCAGTTTGTGAATTTCCCTGTTTCTCAAATGCTTAAGTAGCCAGTTGCTTACTTAAAAGTAAATAGTTTGACTTCCAGCGTTTTCATAGAATGAATTTGTATCATCTGCCACTTTGTTTTGATGGTAATTTTTTTTTTTTTTGCTGAGGATGATTCGCCCTGAGCTAACATCTGTTGCCAATTTTCCTCTGTTTTGTGTGTGTGTGTGTGTGTGTGTGTGTAAGAGCCACTGCCACAGCATGGCCACTGACAGACAAGTGGTGTATGTCCGTGCCTGGGAACCAAACCCGGGCCGCTAAAGCGGAGTGTGCCAAACTTAACCACTAGGCCACCGGGGCTGGCCCTAAATGAGTCTTTTTGTAGAGAATTTTTAAACTGCCTATTTGAAAGATATACACATCTGGCTGCAAAGAAATATACTATTATGCTTTCTCATGGGTGAAGATCTCTAGGAACAGAAGGCAGTTTTTACTTACTGCTAAAATTCCTGAGGACTTGTATCTTGCCTAGGAAAAAAAAGTGTCATTTTTTTATTCCTGCTGTATATCATCTTTCTTCTTCCTAGGCCAGTGGTCCTCAACTAGGGGGCAATTTTGCTTCCAGGGAACACCAGCAAATGTCTGGGGACCTTTTTGGTTGTCACACCGGGGGTGCTCCTGGCATCGAGTGCGTGGGGCCTGGGATGCTGCTCAACCCCCCACGGCGCCCAGGACGGCCCCCCACAGAGAATGACCCGGACCCAATGTCAGCAGAGATGCCCTGTCCCTGGAGAATGCACTTGTAGTTTGGGGGTACAGTAGTTCCCCAGATGACAAGCATCACCAACATCTTTTGACTTTTCTGGACAAGTGAGTAAATAGTTGTCTGAGCCCTTGGAAATAGTGCAGCCTGATCAGACTGGAAAAAGGAGAGAAGTTGGTCCCAGCTTGCCATTGAGGAATGCTTGCAGAGCTATTTTTTAGTTTTATATTTGGAAAAACATTCCCTGCCTTGCCCGACTCTCTCTTTCTATTTAACAATCATGCAACCTGTTAATTACCCAGCATGGCCAGGGTCCCTACATTTGAACTCTGAAGACAAGGTCATTTCCACTCGTCTGTCTCGTACGTGTCTGAAGTTGCCTCTCTGTCTTCCTGATTGCAGCCCTGCCCACTCAATCTCTCTCCACCTTTCTTTAGAACTTAGCATGCAGAATTCAGAGGGTGGATCGGATTCGCCGGCTTCCGTGGCTCTGTGTCCGTCGGCAGCAGCCCAGGCACCCGTGGCCCAGCCTGTGCCAGCCTCCCCGCAGGTAACAGACCAGCCTCCCCGCAGGTAACAGACCAGCTCCCCACGGGTAACAGACCAGCTCCCCACAGGTAACAGACCAGCTCCCCACGGGTA